TGCTCTCATTCATTGCTATACAAAAAGAAAACTACTATTCACTAGCAAATCAGTAGATTGGCTCAATGTATTAAATTTATGTTCGTTCGCCCCTTGAGGGCCATGTTATTATAGCAAGATCATATTTTATAGTTAAAACATTCAATAAACTTTTAAAAAGTTTGTTAAAAAAAACTGTAACATATTTCCATGCTGTGGCATGCCACTAAGACAAACACACTTATTGTTCAAATGCACTTTTAAGACTGAACGAGACGGAACAACACATCTTTTATTTGACATAATTTTCAGACAGCAATAAAGGAGGCATAATACTACTCTATTTTCATCTAGATTTCATAACATACTAATTCATTTCTACACAGCCCACAAAGAGATCACCACAACTACTGTGACAGAGACCTAAGCACATCCCAGGCAGCTCCGATCAACAACCACAAACACAACCGTGACTTCATCCCAGGCCCGAGCAGCTCTACAGATTCTCCGCCCAGGCGAATAGCCAATGCGCAGCTCCTCACGACAGCGCAGCCGGTCAAGGACAGAGACGAGACCGTGGTTTAAAAAGGTGCGGTTCGATGCTGCTGATATTCGCAGCACACACGATGTGGCTGAGTGCGGACACCTGCGCACCGACGAGATCCGGCATCAACTGCTCCTTCTTCTTCCCCTTACCAGGGCCGTCCCCGTACCTACCTTGGGGAACCAGGCTTTCTTCTCCAGGTCCCACTCGTAGGCAGCCCCGTCCGCCGGGTCCACGTAGGTAAAGGGGTCGGACTCGCCCTCGCCCTCAGCGGGCTTGGCCTCGTACTGCTGCTGGAGCTGCAGCTGCCGGTAGAACTCCTCGTTTCCATCCTCGCTGCTCATCCTGCCGCGTTCACTGAGCCTAGGGCACCGCCGCTCCTACCACCGCCGTCTGAGGCACGCCCGCGCAAGGACAGCCCCACAGCTCCCGCCGCGGCCCTCTCGGCGGCGGAGCGCGCGGACAGCCCCACGGCTCCCGCCGCGGCCGCCGAACCGCCCCAGGCCCCAGCGAGCGCGCTACACCGGAAATACCCCGCGCGCTGCCGTACCTTCCGCTCGCCCCGCCTCTTTACTCCGAGCTGTGGCCAATGAGACGAGCGGTATTGGGTCATGCGGAGAGCGGCGGAGCCAATAGGAAGCGGGGGACAGAAAGCCTTTCCTGGGAGGGCGGACACGAGGGGGGCGCAGGCAGGGGGCGGGGCGCAGGCAGGGGGCGGGGCGGGGCCGGGGAAGAGGGCGGGGCTCGATGCCCGCCTCGGTGCCCGCCTCTGGGCTGCCCTGAGGGCTGCGGATCCTGGTCTCCGTCGTGGGACGGGCGAGGTCACCACAACGGCCCTGCCCCTTTTTCTCTTCTGTTTTTTTTTCCTTTCCCTTCACCCTCAGACTCCAGCGCTATTTCACCACAGGGGCTCTGCATGGGGGCAAGAACCTTGATCGGTTTTGCATGGGGACCATGCCGCTTTACTTACGCGAGAAATAAAAGTTTAGGGCACAGAAAGTCCTCCCTGCTGCATGCTTTTCCCTGTTGCCCTACGACAACACTGGACAGTGAAGCGGCTTGCTGCCTGTGGTGCTGTGCAAGGCTGGATGCCCTTCGGCACTGCAAGTGCACGCGTGTCCTACTAGAGGCAAAGGTAGAACCAAAACTAGAAAAATGAGATTGAAATGGCACTCTGAAAGTCAAGAAATCACGTTGCTTCTCTTTACCCTTTTGGCTGAGGGTGTCCAGCGGTTGTGTTCCCCTTAGGAAAGGGATGATACGTCGTATTAGTGGGATGAAGCTTGGCTGCAAAACACACAATTCCTTTTGCATTAATGAACTCTGCAATTACTACTCTTGACTGTGGATACTTAATTGAAATTTCTCCCAGTGCCCTTCATCTAGTGCCATCTAGTGGTTTTTACGGTGTAGCCCAGACAGCGTTATATGAAAACTGAATTTTACTTGCTATGGTACTTCAAAGTCTTTCTAGTTAGAGAGTGAAGCAGCACACTCTTCGTGTTTTCTTTTGCAAACCTCAACCTAGAGTTATAAAACTGCGTGTATCAGTGTATATGTAATAAATGAAAATTGATCTGAAGAGCCCCAGAAAAGCTGGCAGTGGTTGGTTTCCAGGGGCAAAACAATCTTTCCACTCAGAAATAAAAATTATAAACAGAATTTTTCTGGAAATCAGTATACCAGGAACAAATATACAGACTCGAATGATAATAAAATCAAAGATATGTGATTGTGAAGCCCTGCAGGGAGAGATGAACATCAGCTCCCTCCCTGGGCACCAGGTGTTATACAAATTTGCTGAGGATATAAATATAGAGTTCTAGTAACCATTGCTGTCGCACAAAGAACATCCAGCCTAGTTAATGACATCTTTGATTCTTCAAGAATTTTCTCTAGGCAGTTCAATTACAGTAGTAATAGATTGCTTTGTGATCCCTTATAAACTTACCACCTAAAGGACATTTGTCTTCACTTTCAAACAGTTACTGGATTTTGGAGTGGAGGATGAGAGGCTTGATATAAACTGTGCTTGCTTATAAAATTTGGAATTGGGTATATATTTGGAAATCAGATAATGAATTTTGTAAGAGAAATATAATTTAAGTCTTAAACTGCTTGTTTAATTTTTGCAGGGTTTTTAATGTTTATTACCTGAGTGTTTGCAGTAAGGTCTGTACAGCTTTCCCTGCTGTGCAGATCTGCATACAGTGAGGCATTAGGTTAGTCCTGGGGAGCAGGGAATCCAAATTTATTCTCAGTCCAGTGGGAGTGAGAGAGTGCTTCTGTGCAGCAGGGTTAACGTTCAATAAATCTCCTCTACACGCTTTGATGTAGTTATGAGGACAAACTGCCTCGAGTTCCCTCACACTTCCTTTGCATGACAGAATGTGTAACAGAACGGCTGGCTGCCGCACAGCCTCCAATGGTGTCACTGCCATCTGTTCCCTCCTCCTTGGTAAAGACACAGTGAACAGCGCAGGGAGATGACTCAGCTGGAAACTCATCATTTTGTGGGGCTGAGACAACTTTTCTCTCCCCCTTGAAATTACATAGATCATGGCTACACAAGCACTGCTGCAAGCTGCATCTTGGAGGAGGGTGCCAAGAGCTCAAACGTTCCACAGCTCAGATCAGTCCAGGCTGTCAAAAATTATGTTTTAAATTCTGGCAAAAATGTCTCAAAGCAAATATTAAAAGGAGGCATTAGCATCATGATTCTGTATCTGTGTCTGTGTGACATAAGCCAATTTTGGCTCATCAGAGCTGATTGATGTTCCAAAGATACAACCCGAATGTAGTTCTAGAGGTACCAACTGCTAAGAATACAGATAAATTGGTTTTTCTGAAGTGTTTTGCTCCCTTTAATAGGGGAACCAGCAATTTGCTGGCTAATCCTTAATTAAGTAGACACTATTTTCCTGAGCTGTTTTGTTATGTCAAGTCAAGGCAGTAACTGATGACTAAGTAGAGACAGGCTACTCCTCTTTGAGCTTTTCAGGGGTCTGGAGCCTGTAGCTGTTACTTAGTTACTGAGAGTGATGAGGAGTCTTCATAGTAGGAAAAATTACAGAACCAGTACAGATGTACTAAAAATTCAATATTGTGTCCCATACATGGAAATTTCACATCACAGTTCACCTTGCACTGAGGGGACCATCTGTGGCAGAGCTAACACTTAAATGCTGATTAAAGTCCATATTACATTTTTAAAGTAACAGTGACTGAAATGTGTTAGTTCTGTAGCTGTGTGCGGCTTTGGGTTATTCTTTCATTGTAATATTCTCAGCAGAAACACAGGACTGTCAACAGGCAGCCCATGTAAAATAAAGCAATTTTTATGGGAACAGGAGCGGGAGCTTTAAAATGGCTATAATTGTGTAACTAACTTTTATACCCCAGTCACTCTGACTTTAGCAGTGTTTTGACATAGGTTTCTTAATTTTTTTGGATTTTGGGGGGGCAGTTAACTAACTACTGATACTGAAGCTGTTACTAATGTGCACATGAAATGTGTACATCTCATTCACAAAACAAACAACAAAAATAAGTATGTCCTAGAAATTGTACTTACTTTCTCAGTATGACTCCATATGGACAGAACCAGAACCTTTGAGGGAGTCAGCCTTTCAGTATTTTGTGCCTTTTTTTCTACCTAGTCTTATGGACTAGGTATTTTTTCTACCTAGTCTTACGGACTAGGATTCACTATTTACATGGACGTAAATAGTGAATCCCTAATTATTCATCCATTTTATTTGCAAGATAATACTCAGTACTTATGTAAATAGATAGTATTCCCATATGCTCTTGTAGAATTACATATGTATTATTACTTAGGGGTGAAAGAATCTGATTTTGTAATGCCTAGAAAAGATTGAAAAGGAAACAACCCTTTTCCCCTAAATACAGTTATGGTAATGTGGAGACTTTTTATGCCTAATGATATTGTGGGGAGTAGATGTAATAAATAATATCAGATTGGTTAGATAAAAATATATGTTGAACCATAAATCACTCCAATACATCATGCCATGACGATTTGAATGTACAGAATTATCAATGCATAAAGTACACAGAATAATTAAATTGTGTCTTGAAATATTGCCAGTCTTTAAAAAGAACATGTGCAGAATATAGCAAAAACATCAGTTCTGTAACAGGATATAGTCACACTAGAAAGACAATCCAGTTAGAGGAGGAGTTACACAAGCAAAAAGTAGCTTCATGCAAAGGAAAAAAAATGTGATTTAGGAAACTGGGTTTTAAGGGTTAGCCAAAGATTTTGCAGTGGGAAATTTGGTCTCTGACAGAGACAAACTGTAAAGTCTGGAAACATGTAGATCTGTTTCCCAAAAGCATTACAAAGCTAGAATAAAATATGCTGTAAGTAATGGTATTGTTGGTGGATATTTCTTTTGTTTAGAATTCCCTATAGTAAGATCCAGGAAGATAAATGTAAGTTCATAAGTGTGTAGGCTTCTTATCTACTTTATTTCAGTCTCACCCTGCAGCTTCATGAAGGAAAGAGAGAAGAAAATAGCAGTGCAACATGCTCATATTTGTACATGGCTCTCTTCCAGGCAATGTGTTACATTGAGACAAAGAGAGTAAAATAAGGTCTCTGAAGTCCACTTCACCATAAATTGTATTTCTGTACTATTGTATTTCCATTTATTTCAATGATCCTATCCTGGTGTGCAACTGGTACAATAAAAGAAGGAGTCTATTTGAAAACTAGTGCTTGTAGCCTTGCAGCTTGTAACATGAGGACCATAGTCAAACAAAGCCAAGTCTGATGGGATTAACCTGGTCCGTCATTAACTGGTTAACGATGATGATAGAGGTTGTATTGCAATGCCCCTGGGATTTATAGTTTGGATTTATTTTTCTGATTAGAGCAGGCAACAGAGAGAGTCTTTAAATACATTTTCTCATCTTATAAACAACTTCGTTAATGACGCATGAGTGGATGGATTTCCAGCCATATGTTGCTAAGGGGCTCTGTGCAGTTGAAGGGGGGCTATGCCTTTAAGGGTTAGTTAAAATTGAAGCTTCTGTGACTGACAGAATTATTTTAGTTCATATGTTGCAACTTCTGTTGTATATTTTAACGCACAAATTCTTTCTTGAAATAGAAGTCCCTTAGTTTAAACAATGGAAAATCTATTGTGTTTTCAATTACCGGCTTCCACAGAACAAAATTTTAGTTCAGGGAAGATAAAATTCATAAAAATAAGTGTCACTCAAATATTTTGTAACATGGAGTAGGAAGACTTGTCTACTGTACTTCCTGATGGGAAGGCAGCCCCTGCCAGCAGTGCTGCTGAGCATGGATATAGCTGTCCTGATTTGCCTCTGCAAGCCCAGTCATAAAATCAGTGGATTTGAGATTAGAAGGCCTATGGCATTAAGACAGCCTATCCTAATGTTAAAAAGGGATGCAACTTGAAGAATAGAAAATTAGTATAGTAGAAAAAATACAGCTCTCCCAGTGTGCTTGAGTATGTGTAGGCCACTTAGATACAACCACATATACTACAGCATGAGTGGATCTGTTCAGGTAAAGGGTCAGTCTAACTCTTCACACTGTACATTTTTTGCTTCAAACTCACTCTAGCCTGGTTTAGTGGATTGGACACACAGTTCCATCTTAGAGAAATCCAGGCTGTGCACTCAAGACCACTTTGGGATATAAAGCAAGGCAGGAGGGGATATTTGAGCACTTCAAAAGCGCATTGTAAATCGCAAATAGAACTCTTGATACAGATGCACCCCAATTTATTGATATTAAATCACTGTAACAATAAAAAAACTCTGCACTATCAAGATGTTTTACCCATATATCACAAAGAACTTTACAAGCGTAGTTAAAGGTGATTATAACTTTCTCAGAGAAATGATCACCTGCTCATTCCCTTGACTTCCTTAGGAACATCCATCTCACTACAAAGCAGTCAGCTCTTACCCAGAAATTCTAAGTCACTGACAGAGCAACAGCTACTATGGATCTGGCCCATAACACTTTTTCTTTTTTTACTTCACAGCGCTACAAACCTTAGCTTTCTTTCATTTTAGCATTCTTTCTCTTGTGTTTACACATTTTTAACATTCAGGACAAGAAAATAAATAAATCAAAAATGTGCCTGCTTGATCGTGTTATGACCAAGTGGCTTTGCTTTCTTGCTGTGGGTGCAAATAGTTGTCAGAGGGAGCTCTCAGTCACGACTCAAAGAGCAAGTCACCCAGAACAAAACTCTCCTTACAGCCAATTCTTGTACCAACTCTGCTAAGTCCTCTCCTGCCCTGTCCAGGAATTCCAGCCAGGAATCTGTATTCATGCCTGGGAACATGAGTAATCCCTTTGAGCTTATGCTGTACCGTTCAGCTGTTGCTGCTTCTTGCCCCACACAATTTGATTTGTTTATTTTACGTTTTGAAAAATGAGGAACTCCTGATGAACACGCTTTCACAGATAGAGCAAGCCATAGAACCTCTTTCCAGGATACCAGTAGCAGTGACTTGATAGCAATGACTCTGTTTCTGTCCTTCTTCTTCCCACATGGACTAAACACTTTCCTCTTCTTTCGTGATGCTATAATCTGTTAGCAGTGTAACACTGACTTCTGAGCCATGCATGCTGCCTGTGACTGACAGGGCTCTGGTAGGAGAACTGCTCTGGGGAGCACTGGAAGACTTTGCACAGAATGCTGCCTTGCAGCATGAGACTTGCTTTTTAAAATGTTGCCGGAAAGTTTTACTCAGCCAATAAAGAGCAAAAGGATTGACGCAGGAATTGCTGAAGGCCAAGGCGCGGGAAAAAATAGTTGCTATCAGGTGATAGGTGGAAGCATTGATAGAAGTGTGGTATGTGAAAGAGCGATACAGATAGAGGATGTGGTTGGGCAGCCAGCAGAATGCGAACAGAGCCACAAGCACCAGCACTGTCTTTGCAACTCTCTTGCGGGATTCAATCTACAAGAAAGAAATGCATAGCTGGCATTAACAGCAATTAGTAAAATGTTTGTGCTGTTGGTGCTGATTTGCAAAGTAGTGTAAAAGTCTAAATGCTTGAGTAACCAAAAAAGCAAAAAGTAAAAATAAAATGAACAAACAAATAAAACCCCAAACCAGAAGACCTAAACTGTAAAATAAATCTATTTCACAATTTTTAAACCAAGCATTTCCAGTGAAGAGCAAATTTCTTTTCCATTGTAAATCATATGACACTCTCATCTAGACTAGGACTTAAAAATACAGTAATTAATGTGTCAGATCACATGGATGAGGTCCCAGTGTTTAAAATTCAATGTTTTAACTATTGAGTTTACAGGGTCATGATAAAGCATGACAGACCCATTTCTCTTTAGGAAAGAGTGGGCACTCACAAATTATGAGTCATGAGCAGGTGCCTAAGTGCACAGATGAGTTTGGATTCAAGTTTGGTATGGGCTAAGTTTGTGGAGTTTTTTACTCCATTATCAGGTAAAGCTTTGTACTTAAGAATTAGTATTTAATCAGCACAATAGACTTTGGAGAATTGGAGAGTTCAGTGCTTGATCAGAGCTTACCTGCTTATGGGCATGAGAGTATTCTTCGGCTGGCATGTTGGATGTACTTTTATATAAAGTTCTGGCAATAAGAAAGTAGTAGACAGAAATGACAGCTAAGGGCACAATATAGAACACTAAGAAGCAAACCAGGGAGTGAGCTTCCTGCAGGATCTTCTCAGATACAGGATAGGGGGCACACGCCTCAAAAGTTACATTTTTCTCAGGATTGCTGAAAGAATACAAATCTGAAAAAACAGCCTCTGGGACAGCAAATATCATGGAGACAACCCAAACGCAGCCTGCTTTACAGCAGGTCTTCAGGAGTGCATCTGAAGTCTGCAGTTCCAAGGGTTTAACGATGGCTCTGTACCTAAAATGACCAACATCATTGTCAGAATAAACACAGAAATAATGTGAACACATACTGTAAAATTCTTAAGACTAAAGCCATTATTGTTCTTGCTAACCAAAGGGTGCTGGAATTCTCTTGGAAATGAAAGCAGACACTAGCTCTGGAATCAAAATGTTAAAATGCTTTTCAGGCATGTGTTATAATGGATTGACAGGCAGGAGTTGCCATTAAAACTTTCCTATGTAAAGATGACTTCCAAAGTTTGGATTGGGATCACTAAGGGCAATCATCACTCCTAATTTTATGACTCTGCCTTGAAAGATAAATGAGAGAATTAGTATGTAACTTTGATGAAGGTATGAAACAGGTTAACTATTTCATAAATAGATGAAACCAAGCATGTTCACCCCTCCTTTCTTCTGTCTTCCCGAGACCCCTGCTGAGTGCAGTGATCTGACTCAAAATAATACTGCAGTATTCATTCCTATTTATAAAGCAGGAGAGGGCACTGCTGTTGATTCATGCCTGTGATTCTGCAGCATATAGACTGAGTCAGGCATACAAGAAGAATCTGGATTAATCTATAGGTGTGTGATGATCTGTGTGGAAGAGGGACATGGAAAAAGGCCAACTTCCATGAAAGCGAATGAAGCACAGGAAACAATATACCCTGCTTCTAAGGACCAGGGAGTCTTGATAATGCAGAAAGAAGCAACCCCTCCAGGGAAGCACAAAGCTGGCATGAAAAGGTAGTGAAAAAGGACCCAGAGGGTAAGAAAGCTTAGTTGTACTATTTTGCACAAGCTGAGGATCTGGACTTTTTCTCCTCTAGGCAAACTTAAATAGAAAGCTGGAAGGTGGCTTGATATTTATCAAATAAATACCATTTTTATTGACTTTGAGCTCTTCTAGCATATTGGAACACAACAGTCTGGCATTAAGCCCGTGACTGATCTGAGCTTGCTCTGTAAGTTTACAATGTAGTTACGCTGTGAGAATGTAGTGCAGAGTATTTATATAACAGCTACCATGAAAATTAAATACAGAAGCAAGTGTCTAAACCATAGAATCAGAGGAGAGTTGGGGTTGGAAGGGATCTTTAAAGGTCATCTAGTCATGGTGAATTCTTAATTGACATTCCTACAGGAGCAAGACCTTGGAGCTACAGTAGGTAGTTCAGTGTAAACATTAGCTTATCTTCAGCAGTAGTTAAAAAATCCTAAAATAAACCCAAACTGAAACAGCAACAATAAAGCAAAATGTTAGGTAGTATTAGGAAAAAAAAATGGAGAGCAAAAGAAACAATTGTGCAATTACCTGTATCCCTGATTCATGCAACTTTTGATTATCATGTGCTGCTCTGCACACCTCAACTAAAAGAAACACAACCTAAGGATGGATTACAATATGAATAGCCTGGAGACATGATTAGGAATCACTGTCTCTTCCCACACAAGAGCCAGCACCATCAAATGAAGCCGTGTGCAGTGCAGAAATAAAAGGAGTTATTTTGTACAGGCAGTGAAAGTCATTGTTAAGCAAGTTCAAGAAAAACTGAACAAGTATCCAAAAGAGAAATCCTTTGGGGTTATTAAATAGACAGAAACAACATCTGTTGAGTGTCATATGAAGGCATAGGGTTAAAAATGTAGTTGGATAGAGGTTTTTATTCTTCCTATGAGTCTTTTCTTGTCCTTATACTACCACTGCTGGAGGCTGGTATTGGTCTACATGGATCCTTGATTTGACCTTATGTGGTCATTCCTGTGCTGGCTGATTATTTTGGAGTACAGTAACAGTACCACTGGTAAAATTCTGGACATATGAACAGTTTGCTATTACATACAATGCACAATTGCTGGCAGGCAAGATGATATTTTTCTCTCTTAATACTAAACTTCTCTTTTATCCCTACTCCTAAATGCTCCTGCTGATTGAACTGAAATCTCCTTAGTTTTGTTCATTCAAGAAAGAAATACACAGAAAACAGATTCAGCATTTCCTGACAGCAGTCAGAACACTGATCCCTCTTAGCAAGGCTGTCATTACAACCTGAGTTTAATTTCACAACCCCTGGGCTAAAATATTTCTGTAAAAGATAGAAAAACTACAAGAGGAAAAAAAATTATATATATGCATTTCTCAAGGTGACAATTACATTAGCCATCAAATCATGAGAGTAATTCCTTTGTCCCCTAGTTCTGTTCTGTGTTTTCTTTTGGCTTTTTATCCCATGTCAGTCTTTCATGTTCTAGGATTTTAAAGCCTCCCTGAGAGCATAGGTTAAGGAATTTTCACTCATAATAATCTTCCTTGACTACTTCACTATACCACTAGATAGCACCAATATACTGTCTTTTTTTCAACTTAAAAGCCATTTCCTTTCTCTGTGCAATTGAGAAAACCCCTTGTAATGTACCTCAAACTAATAAAAGGTCAGAAGAGTGAAAGAGTTTTCCTCACTTCACTCCCTTATAAAAAAGTGCTACAATTTTACTAACACGCATTTTTAAATGTCATGGGAGACTGGTAGTTTGGGATTTTTAATCTATTACAATGTGCCATTTAAGACTGTGCAAAATGATAATATCTGCTATTTTCTTAATTTCAAACCTGCAGCATCTCCTGGCAAATCAGTAGCACAGACCCACCTGTCAGCACTGAGAACAGTCAGGGTAAACACTGATACTCCAACTGATGTTAACTGGATAAAAGACAGCAGCTTGCACCCAATTCTTCCGAAGAGCCAGGTATCCACAATGTAACGTGTTGCATCTATAGGCACACACGTTAACAAAAGCAGCAGGTCTCCGAATGCCAGGCTGGTGATGAAGATGTTGGGAACCGTCTGCATTGATTTAACCTTGAAAAAAACTTTGATGAGTATTGCATTTCCAAGAAGACCCACTGAAATGATCACACCATATGTAACATAAATTGTGCACAATATTTCTAATCCTGGAAAGGAGTCTTCAATCCATTTTTCATTCGTGGTTTCATTATCAGAGCTTGATTTCAGTTCTGTACCATCCACAGACGTACACAAAGTCTGATTAGCTGATTGCAAGTATAATTGAGACATTTCTTTAACTGTTTCTTCTTCCCAGGCTGGACTTCAATTGATTAAAAAAAAATGTTTAATATTTAGCTTGCAGCATGTCAGCAGGGTCAATGGAAACCTTGCTTTGTGTCTGAAACTCAGATTCCTGTTGCACATTAACTACTTTCACCCCCTCCTGGATCTCAAAACATGTCTAGGAGAAATGCACGTAGATCTTGTTCTGAACTGGAGAGGAGGAGAATATTTTTATTGGCTTTTCAGCTAGTGGAACAGAGAGGGAGGAGGAAAAGAGAAACGGAGTTCCTTTAAATACATTAGCTGAAATGAGGTGGGATTTTTACTGGAGATGTCTGTCAAGTAACAATCATATTGTATCAGAAATGTAATATTAGGGTTTGTATATTACATAGCCAAATTTATTGCTGTTTTTCAAAATTTTCTAAAATGAGAATATTATGAAAACCTGAAATAGTTTTCTCAATAGTAGGGGTAAGCAGAAAATATACTAAATTAACACAAAACTCTTCAGTACACATCAATGGCAGATAAAATATTTCAGAAAATACTTAGTATTTTCTGACAAAGCTATAGAAATGGACTACATTTTTGTCGCAGCGTGTCAGGGTGGTAGAAATGCTTCAATCTTCTTTGAAACATCTCCTTCAGAAGCTGCTCAGAGTAAGGCCACAAGAATAGCCATTTCAAGTTCATGCACACGCACATGCCACAGATTGCTCAGCAGAGGAAAGATGGGAAAGGTCTTTGCATGATGTATTCCAGCAAGGGTTTATTGCATCCACCACGCCAAAGGGACCAGACTTGAGTATGGGATCAGTGACCAATGACCAGAGGGCACAGGGGTGGGCAAAAGGCAGCAACCTGTAGGGGGGTTGAGGGATGAACGGATGGGGTCGGATGGGGTCGGCAGTGTCAACTGGCCAAGCGGGGAGGCCGTCTGATGTAGACTGGCAGTAGTGCTGCAGAGCATCATGGGTTAATTCTTCTCTACCGGCCTAGGTGGGGAAAACTCCATTATATAGTCTTCCCTGAGGGGGAGGAGGCAGAGGATTCCACATGCTCTGGTTAGCCTTTCTATCACAGAAATGCAGTGACCTTCCAAAAAGCAATATAAAACCAAAATTTATGGCCACAGGCCTCCTAACACTTAGGTTTTTTCTCTTGAAACATTCCCACTGTTTCAACTTATGCCAAAGTATGAACAAGTTTATAGGTAGTTGCTGGATAGATGCCTGTTATCTTGCAATAACCCATGTATAGGCTTTGAATGGTAAAACTGATTACTCAAATCTTCTGAGTGAAGATTCCTGATTTCCTGATGCTTTCTCAATGAGGCATGTTAGTAGTAATATGGGTTTTCTTATCTTTAGATAAGTCAACAGTCAAATCTCAAATAATCTCATTATGTGCACACATCGTCTTACTTTGATGAACTCCTGATTAACCTTTCTGTAAACTAAGATACAAGAAATGTGGTGCACTGAGCTAAATCTCCTAAAATTAAGAAAGCCAAGGTCTAATTTCTAAGTAGTGGGAGTGGAAAAGGGATCAAAGGACTGAAGCCTTATACCTTGAAAATTAAGATCAGTCACTGGGGTATCTTTCGTTTGGATTGTTCTTGGACTGTGACATAAGGCACCCTGCTCAAATCACAAAAGCAACTTTATAGCTGAGTCCTTTTAACTGCACATATGCAGACACACAAAATCAAGCTTGTTTCATTTACTCAAAAAAAAATCTCTAAGTACTATGCATGAAAAGCCTTATTTTTCCTCCCCCAGTCCCAAATATAACCATGCCATACATATCAGGTGGTGAAAGACCAGGTGGTAGAATTTATATCAAATGGAAGATTTGTGCTGTGGCATGGTGGGAGAAGGAGTCACTGATGGAAAGAGTATTCATAGGTTAAAAATTCCAATTATGATTTTTGAAAGTGCTTTCAGAAGAGCAGCTCTTGTCATCATCAACCAGAATATGTCCTTTCATGCAGGCGCAGTATGTAGGTTGCTCACAGATTAAGGTACCTTTGAGAATCCTGATTATGTTGTCCACCCACACTGGCATAGTACCATGCATTACAATTAATACAGAGTTCAGTAACTGTAGCAGATTGTGACAGCTTAATGTCAGATACTTACATAAAATGTTTCATTTTCCTGTATGGGAGATGCAGGGTGTCACCAAACATTGATAACCACTCAACTTGAGTTGTGTACTCAAAGGTGGCATCTGAATGACACATCAGGTGTTTAGCTGAAACGGGAATTGAGCTGAAAGAAGCTCCCTGCTTGCCTTGAATTGCTCTAGATATTGGCTGATGAACCAAAGCTCGGCCAACAGCAGAGATCCCAACCAACTCTTACAGTCCCTGAAATTTGGGCTGGCAACATGGACTCTGAGGTTCAGTAGTTCTGTCACTTGAGCATTTTGTATGCTGGGATGAAAGACCTGAACTGATATCCCTCTGTGCAACTCATAATCCACAGGACTGAATTCTTGAGCTCCCAGCAGTTGGTTTGGGATTTGGAGGATGATTCAGGTATAGAAGGGAAAGCAGACAGACCTCCCAACCCACATTAAAGTCTCTTGAGGACATCAATATGTGTCACAGATGCAAGAAGCTCCAGAAAGTGGCAAAAGCTTAAAATTCTCTTTATTCCCAGTACTTCATATGCTGTTCATCCCAAAGAGTTCATGTATCCAGACCTGAATGCCCATTCTGATGCTTCACACTTTAGAACCCCCCCCACTATCTGGAAACACAGACTCATTTTTCCCTTCTCTCTCTCTCATTCTCTCTCTCTCTCTCTCTCTTTCTCTCTCTCCACAGTACACATGTCTAACCCTGCTCAAAGCAGCATGAAATTCTACTTGATTTTCTCTTTCCACTGAGACCCTGCTTTTTTCCCCTCTTTCTGCCTCCCTGGGGGAATGTGGCAGCAGGAAGTTTCATCATTTCTTACATTCTTTCCTCAGTCCTTATATTACTGGAGGTTTTAGGTATTTGCCCAGCCTCTCTCTTTATGGAGCGTAAAATACTGTTTTAGTGGATTAATAGGAAGTGAAAACCACTATTTTCAAAAAGTACACAAAATAACAATGTCTAGACCCAAGGAAAATCTGAAGGACAGACAGCAAACTACATCTGCAATTTGTTTATGATAGCAGAATTTCAGCTATTTCTGATAGCTTTCTATTGTTCAAATCTAGCTCTAAAGGAAGAGAATGGCATTGTTATTCCAAACTGTAAAGTACTCTAAGGCATTATTCCTTGTGAAACAACTGTAATTAAGTGTGTAGCATAGCAGGTTTAATCTCCTTATTTATGCAAATTACAAATGAGTAGGCATAAAAATATCTGTGTTTGCAAAATGCTTCTGAGTCTTCAAACATCTCCAGAAGGGATCCAATCTGGTAAAATAAAACCAAGTGATTATTACAAAAGCTGAGTGTCAAAGGATAAGCAGACCACAGCATTTTAAGAGCTCATAGAGACAGATGTTTCCCAGGCAGTGCTTTATCAGTCTTCCCTTTCACACATTTCCCAGTTTTTTTTCCAGTTCTGGCTTCTCTGTAGAGAACAGCTGCTGCCAGTAGCACCATCAAGGATGGCTGCCCCTGAGAACAATTGTGTGGGACATCAGATTTGAGGACAGGGATGATTATATGCTGCACTCCATTAAAAAAAAAAAAAAAAAAAAAAAAAAAAACAACAAAAAACCCTTAAAACAGCATCTAATGGTAACCCAAATAATACAGCCCAAATTCTGCTCTAGGTCAGTGCCTCTGATAACACCTTTTCTAACGGTGAACCGAAATTTGGGTTGTTTTTGTTATGTTTCTCCCAAACAACTCTCTGATACTTGTCAAGGGAAGTCCTTGGGAGAGCAATTAATGCAAGCCAAATCCACTCTGCGCATGGGAATCAGGACAAGAATACCAAAAATGGACACAAGGCCTAGAGAAAGAGTTAAAATCACCTCTGAGCATCCCCACACAGGGGTGAAGGCTGTGGGCAGCATTACTTCCACAGTCACACCCACTCAAGTGAGGTACCCTGATAAATCATCCTGTAAAGAGAAGAGGGGTAAGAAAGTAGTGCCTTGCACACACTTTCAATTGGGTATGATCACGCAGGGACCAACAAGCACTCTCTGCTAATGTACCTCAAGACAGAAGAAATTTAAGCTGAACAGCCTAGGGGAAGAGATCCATCCTTACAGCGCAGGGTGTGCATCTCATTTCTGCTAGCTCAGTGTCTTCACTTATTTCTGTAAAAATGCCCCAATCTTAGAGAAGCTGACAAGCACAGAAGTGGAGAGGAAATCTGTCTACTTACCCCAGCCAGCAATGCAGCATTTTAGCATGTACTTTGGGACATAAACATTGAAAACTTTGACAAGAGCCAAATAAAAGTGAACAGACTCCAGGCACATCCACGTGAATGCTGCAAGAAGGAAATAGTGGAGGAGCATGGCCACAGTGATGCAGAGGCCTGTCTGGTTGAACGAGGTCAGCCAGGAATTGGCAAGGAAGACAATGTTCAGCAGCAGCGGCGCAGCACAAAGGTTGAGTAGGATTTTTGAGGGGTTGTCTCTCCCCACCTTCCTAGAAAGAAGGGGAAAGCCCACAAGGTTATCACTGCATCATCCAATTTGCAGCCTATTTACTCCCTACAAGAGTGGGTTTGCAGCCTAACCCTAACCCTATACACAGGAATATTCCAGATTCTTGACATAATATCTCACCCATGTCCAGGGGTAAATTTTTTGAATGACAGAAATTTTTACTCTTTTCAGACATTTTACTGTGAGAGTGGGGAGGCCCTGGCATAGGTTGCCCTGAGAAGCTGTGGCTGCCCCATCACTGGAAGTGTTCAAGGCCAGGTTGGATGGGGCTTGGAGCAATGTGGTCTAGTGGAAAGTGTCCCTGCCAATGGAACTAGAGGACATTTTAGTAATCCCTTCCAATCCAAAGCATTCAATGATTTTGTGACATTTGGGAACATAAAAATTGCTGAACAGTTCAGAGAGGTGCTTGTATTGAGGTAGGAGTATTCAAATCTCTCTAAGTTTGCAGCAGTCAGCCATCAAAATAAAGCAATATTTATACTGTCAGCTCTCAGTCTTCCCTTTTATGCATCACAGCACCAAATACTAGTAAACATTCTGGTAATTGCTGCAAATTACTTGTTGCCTAAATATTAAAATCAGTATAAGAAAAAGGATCATACTTACTCAAGGGTTAGGTACGTCACGAGCGTTATTCCCAAAAAAAGGGAAGAAGCACCACATCCTGCATAGCTTATCAGAGTTAATATATGCTCATGTGTGACATCTATTTCTGTCCAGGACAAATCCTGTGTTACAAGATAAAGAAACACAGCTGTTTGCCAAGACAGATTTAGAAAATTCCTTTCACATTTCAAATTACTGTTCTGCTTACTGCTACTTTTGGAGATTTTCCATTAATGTATTTACGTGTTTCTTATTGTATAGTCCCACAGAATATCCAAACTAGTAAATGGTAAATTAACCCACAGTATTTAAAGTATCCAGGAATAAGTTGTGAACCTAGAAAAGCTGTTCTTCAGAAACCACAAACTGAACATGGATTCCAGGATCTTACCAAAATTATTCCACCGGGAGCTCACTTTGTAGGAGAAACTACTTTGTTTCAGTGTCAGCTGCCATTCTTGGGATCTGCACAAACCTGCTAAATGTCTTGGAGCATGGTCGATCCTCCCTGTCCAGAAAGCACCACTGCAAAATCAGACAGGAAGCTGGGCCCTGCTTCTCCACAGCTGCTGCCAGGAGGAACACTGAGAGGATTTTGTTGTCCCCTGACACAGCTTCTCTTCTATTTTGTGAAACTTTGAACCTCAGACTAGTAACCTACATCTCTGATGTCCCACGAAACCCAAAAATTTCCTAACACCCAACCTAAACCTGCCCTGACGCAACTTGGAGCCATTTCCTCTCCTCCTGTCAGTTTTGCCCTGAGACACAGCGGCCAGTGCCGCATCAGGCCACGCTGGGAGCTGCTGGGCGGCCGAACTGCTGAAGACCTGTAGCTGTGCAGATCACCAAAGTGACTGTGAGAGGTGTGCTCTAAAAATCAGACTGAATTCTTCTTGCTTGAACAAAAACTTGAGCAAGCGTCTGGAATCTGAACAATCTCAATTCCTTTCTGTAAAGCCACAGTTTTACTCCCAGGAGAGCTTTTGCCTCTGGAGCAGGGTCATGCTGATCTCTAGGGGGAGCATCCAAAGGCAAATGTGAGCCCTCACCCCATCCCGTGGGTTGTGTCCTCCCAGGAATAGACAATTTAATCTACTTGATTTGGTTAGAACCTGCCTGTCTCTTTGCCTTTTATGCAGCCCATTCTCAGGCAGTCATCCCAGCTTTCGACATTTTGCTTTTAGAGGCAGTTTTCTCTGTATTACAGAGAAATAAGAGGTACTAGATAATGACATCTCCCATATTTATACTAAACCTCACTTTCTGATGGAGCATAGATAAAACTTTCAAGAAGGTGTAATGTCATTAGTTGTCGCTTGGAGTTAATAAATTTAACATTGTATTTGCAACGTATATCAAGGCTGATTAAGTTACACTGCAAAGTACAAGCTACATCTGTAAAACAACTGCCTCGAAGAGAGTGAGATTTAAAGGACCTTACCCCATTAAGTTATTATAACTGTTTTCTTTGTTATTGCTGATTTTGGCAACATTGCATATATCTAAGAGTTTGTATAGATACAAATCTCCCATCTCTTTTCCAAAGCTAGCAATGACTTTGTTTAGTGCCACAGGACTTTCTGGGAGATGATTCATGGAGTACTCACCAGTAGGACTCCAAAATGGGTAAGATGGTTACAGAAACAGATTGTATAATTCATATCTGTGTATTCCATTTCACATCCCGATGTATTTCAACCACCCAATCCATCTGTGTAATAAAGAAGAAGGATTTTTAAGCAGAGTTAGTCATCCTCCATAATTTATAGCTCTGCAGCATGCAGGGTGTGTGAAGATGAGCTCAAGTTAGTACAGATTGGAGGGTCATTTAGCAGCACACAAGTGAGATTTCACACTGAAACACATCTTCTGTAGTTGCCTGAGAATCTCAACATTTGGATGAAAGATTTTAGTGACATGAAGAAATATTTAAAGACATTTACATATCTGCACACACAGAAAGAAGATAAAGAACCTAGTGTTGGGTGAGATTGTGCTGGAGGATGTGGAAACAGAAGATGAGAAACACACAAGGCAGAGGGTTTGTTTAGGCAGAGTGTAGCACTGAAACAGCCAGATCTTCCCTGGTAAGACTGAATGTTATGACCCCATTTATGTGGTCTGTGTCACATATTCAGAAGCTAAGATCCTGATGAAAAAGAAGCAAATCATTTCTACTCCTACTAATTGCAGAGGAAACCTCTCCCACATGCTCTGAGTTAATCCAATTCAGTTATCTCTATCTGGTGACTGTCTGACCCATTTTAAACACCTGACCTCAGCAAAGCCTCTACTGTATTCTGTGAAGTTACGGTAAGAGTTCATCTGACATTTCATTGCATTTCTACCTTTTTTTTTGGCAAAGTGTTCTTAATCATGTAGATGCAGCACTGCACAATGCCATACCCATGTCCCTGGGAATAATACTGAGTACGTAGGTGTTGAAATCGACACAAAGCAGCAGCACACACTCAAGTTTCAAGGTGCAATGTCAAGACACCAAAGCCATGGTTTGATGCTGGGGACAGAGCCAGCTCGACAAGTAACACTTACTGTTTTTCCCAAAGTCCCAAAAAACGCAGTGCACTGCTGCATTGCCCTGGAAACAGAAGAAAGGAGGCTGTGACATTTCTTCAGGACATATGCACTCTGTCTGCACTTGCAGATGGAGTATCTCACCTCGAATTGGGGTGTATAACCAAGGCACTTGGATTTGATTACCCTGGCACTGCTTGGCAGCAAAGCCCACTTTGTGTGTCTGTGATTATTTGTGTGTGGTGCTGCAGGGAGTCTGTGGGTGAGTGGAAACACCATGAGGTATGGGGCAGCCAAACACTTGGGCTTGGGGAGCCAGCCAGGATATTGGCCGTCTCACCCATGGCACCAAACTAGCAGAGACCTACTTTTTGCCTTCCCCTTTACTATGGGAAATCCTGCAAGTCAGTGATTTTTCCAGTTTTACATGTATCTTTCAATACCTTGCAGTTTTTTAAGGACAGCAGCAAATCTGACAAATTATTCACCTTAGACCAATTCCTGTGTTTAATCTCATTGGATTCATGTGGTGCCTGAGATGTCACACCAAATTACTGGTGAAATTCAAAAGTTATTACTAAGACATGCAATAACAACCTGATATTTTATACATTTGACAAAAAAAAAAAAAATAAAAACAACACAAGAAAAAGCCTTTACTTTATAATTTCAGCAATTTCCCCTCTCTGAAACCAGGCAGGGAAGACAAGTGAGAGCTGAACAGATGTAAATGGATATTCAGTGCAGTGATTTATCTTGGGGACATTCTAGTTTTTCAGTCATAATGCTGCAGCAAACTTTTCCAAGGCACAGATTCATTTACTTTTATTATTATTGTATCATTAATAAATTTTAAAAATACACAGAGTTTACAGGAAGCCAGATTAACAGATAAGCTGTTAAGATGTGTGATTTGTAGGCTGTCAAATATAATTAGGCACATAGCCAAAGATGTAGGTCAGGATGATAACTGATTAAATATTTAATTAAGATAATTTTAAAAGGTCAAGGAAAAAATCTGAAAGGTGCCAGATGGCCTGGTAGAGTAAAAATGACAGAAGAGAGGGGATATCTGGGTAAAATTTCTGAGTATATATTTGATGAATGGAAAGAGCATTTTGCCATGAAAACAGCAATTACAAGTCCTCATTAACTCAAGCTTTATCTAAGTTCATCTTATTGAATAATTTTCTTCTGCCTCGGGTTTGTAATATACTCATGTGGAGGCTGGACCTTAAACATTGGCAGCACAAAAATGCTAAAGAGGAATTCAATCAAGAAGTTTGATGCC